ATCCTCCCTCTAACAAAATCTGACAATTCGAGAGAACCTTGAGTTCTAGGCATGTTGTAGTACAAGATAATTAGTGTGCGAACCATTTTCATTTATATAGTGCTCTGTGAACACAAATTAGTTAGCATAAATCAGTTAAATGAGGAAAAATTAGGTGTCTATTTACTCGTGACCACTCAGTGTAGATCTTCCCCCTTTAATTTATTTACTACCCCTCCAAGAAGTACAGAGGTTATCATCAATTACTCAATATAATGTTATTATTACTCAACTAAAACATAACTTTTATAGTTAATCTTATTTGGTTATAGAGCCATAAACTAGAAAATCACACCCCTTCATCCATGCCCACCTGTAACATCCTCTCTTTCACAAATTTCCAATAATTCTATCTGATGTTTAATACTATATTATTTATAACCAAAGTTTTAATCTATCATATGACATATTATATTACACTGTTTTCTATACAAAGAATTGTCTATTTTGCTTCCAGTTCAAACTTCATTCTCATGGGAAACACACTGATGAGCTTAGCTACATTTTTAATGGCTTTTAATTGCACAGTTAGGAAGATAGAAAATATTATGATAGTTATAGAACATTCTCTGGTTTTCACATGATATTATTCTGTATTTTTAGGTGCATTATTTAATTAAGTAAAAAATTATTTAGTGCAGTATTACCATTGGTATAAAAAATAGGGTTAAGTTTCATCAACAGTTGACAGCAAAAAAAAGAAGACCCGGGTAAGTAGTATGTTTCTTGTTTTTCATGTGTAATCTTTATTTATCATTATAATAGTAACTAAAATATAAAAATTAGAAACATTTTAGGTTAGATAAGCAGCTTTCATGTCACGTTATTCAATACAGTAACATGAGCTACATGTTCAATGAGTGATTTACATCTTGTGTGGCAGGATTATTTGTTGGATTGAGTAGGAACAGATGTATACTGTTATGAGCTTTAAGCTGTTAATGATAAACAAATGCAGTTTTATGTTACAATTTGAAGTAATTCTAGAAAGAAAAAAGGGTAATTCAGATATATTTTGTTTTTTTTATGGTAGTTACAAGGTCAGTCAACTTTACAAACCTCATATAGTTAGGGTAGACAAAATAAAGTTTTACTGAAAACAAAACCTTTGATATTTATTTAGAAGGTTTTAGAGATTATGGAAATTAAATTTTACAATTTTCAGATGAAGAAAAGTATTTTCAAACAAAACATGAAAATCATTTTGCAAACAGAGCAATAAACACTTTGACTACATATATTAATGGAGAAATATTTAGTAAAAACATTTCAATAAAAATTCTGAATTTCTTTGCCTACAAAAGATTTGTAATGCTTACTGAAAGATTGTAAAATTTTACACAAAACATAGAAGTTATAATGTGGAAACTTCAAAGAGCAATTTGGGGTCCCAAACTCAGCTGATTCAACCGAGCCAGTAGCAAGAGAATGTTAACAATAAAACAAATATTGCATGGGTAAGTTATGAACAGCTACATGTTTTCTTTTAAATATATACACATATATATGATACAGTTGAATCTTCAACATATCTGTGAAAAGTAGTATAGAGTAATGTAATATGATTATGAACAGTTCTTCTATAAGAAAACAGACAAAAAGATACAACTGACTTACATCAATAAAAAACTTGCTAGCTGGTGTAGGTCCCCGAGAAAGCACATATCTTAAATGATGAGGGCCTTTGGTATCATCAGTATCAATCAAGACCTCTCGCCAACCCTCAGGAGTTTTCTGTAATGAAAACAGAGATTACAAACAGTTTTCATCAGGATAAGATACAATTACATGTATGGTACCTAATCATAGGGATGTTGTTCATTGAGATCTATTAATACTAGTTTTTTGGCATTCAGTTGCACTGGTAATGTTAAACTAACCTGAAACTTATGAATTGGTAAGGCATCAAAGAATTCATGAGCAATGAAGCAAGAAAATCCTCTGGGAACATCCTCAAGATGACGATACCAAGAAACAGGGACGCCATGTTTTGTGATGTTGTATTTGTAAAAATGTTCCTCACTCTCTGGACCAGTATGTAGATGGAGATGTCGTTGTCGATCTTCAGCTTCTAATACATCTTTGACAACACTGACTGTACCACACAATTTCAGCTCCTGTAACTGACTCAGATGAGGACTCACCTCCACCAGATGGAGTGACACTACTTCTCGTGAGTCACTGAACTGTGAAAAAACCTGATAAAAAACAAACACTAAGTTTATGAACAGTAATAGTTAAATATTATATACACACATACACATTTAATTACAAATAAATGCCACCCACACAAAGTATTCAAGATACTGGAAATTATTTCATATAACAATAGAGAAAGAATAAAAGAATTATTGGTATTATAAGTTTTATATCATATATTAGCAGGAATACAAATAAGGAAAACTGTAAACAAGCAGTCTAGTAATTATTATGATACTCATTAGTTTGATAGACTTAAATGTAATAACTCCCACCATTTCAACCATTCAAAAGGTGCAAAGGAAGAAGTAATAAAGTGTATTGATTAATAAGAGGTTCAGTGAAAAACCACATTTTTTGCAATAATAAATAGCATAGGAATTTATTTCTTGATAGATTTATACATAGCTACCACTATAACCAAACATTAAATTGAACAATTCACTGCCTTTCTTTGTTGTTTTTTTACCTGAACAGCTGAAACATTAGTAGTCTGCCTGCCTTTGAAAGGAAAAGCAAAAAATCTCAGTATAGAAACAATGGCATACAAAAGGAAATTCTGTCAGAAATAGTACAATAAAAATACAAAAACAGATTCCAAAGCATTAGAAGAAAACACTGAACTTAGTGACGATGTAATGTAAAATCCATTTCCAAATGGACTACACATAAAAAAATCACAACAATTAGAAAGCAAGGCATGCTAAAAAGAACCTGTGTAAGCACTGATATTTTCTAATTGGTATGAAGACATACAAGTAAAACTAATGCTTGTCTGAGCTATACATGTCCTCTTTCTTCAGGCTTTGAAAGAAAAGAAGGATCCTCTATTCTCATGTGGAACAAGTGATCCAACCTACTACTTTCAGAACTAGATGTATTTCTGCAAGGTCCCTGAAAGTGTTCTGTTTCAAGAGTAAATAAAACCAAAATTCAGAGTAACAAATATTTTGTTTTTGAAGTTCATATGTCATGCTTTGTTGTAGCCTACAGAGTACATAATTCTTCTTGTGATTCATGGCATGTGCACGTTTTACTGACATCACAACAGTACAAATTGCAACATTATGCATCCTCCTTTATGTGACATCTTTTTAAGAGTCTACTGACTGACTGACAACACACATTACTGTATGGTGGAGGGAGTGGTTAAAACAGGTGACCCCTCCAGGCAGCCTTCGGCCCCCTTTCAGGGAAACGAAGCATAGTTATAGTCATGGTTCACACTGAATTGCTCAGATCAATTTCAAGCACTTTTCAAGGACTTTTTGAGCACTCTCAGAATGTTTTTTAATCATTTTTTGGCAGCTAAAATCTGCAACAAAATCAATCAGATTCCACTGAAATTTTATAAAATTCCTATTTATTTGTTCAGCATACGAATCTAGACTAAAAAGAAAATAAAGATTTTATTTATTGCACTCAACTCTGCAAAATGCATTATAGTTAGATATATCGACATGTTCTGCTATTATAATATTTTCAAGTACTTTTGCAAAAAAAAAGGCCCATTTTCAAGTATTTTCAAGCCAAGCCCTTGAAATTCCATTCTCAATTTCAAGGATGCATATGCACCCTGTATAATTTGTCATTTTTGAAATTTCATTTGCATAATTTTTAAACAAATAAATACAACTTGGATCACTAAATATGCTTACAATTAAAAGTAAAAGTCTGAAGTAATTTCAATGGGGTCAGGTACAAGTCAAAAGCAAGAGAAGAACTGCAGGACTCGTAGCTGGATGGTTGTGAATTTGTGGCTGGCCCACATCATATCCTTTAGCAAAATACTCTACTCTACTTGTTCCAGTCTGATCAGCTGAATGATGGGTAACAGCTGGGGGTTACCTGCATTGGATTGGAATTCCACATCCCTGGGAAATATGTCACTTATCTGCTTGTGCCACTTGAATGGGAGTTCGAAAGCACAGCAAGGATATAACTTTTAACTTTAATACACATTCAATCTCTGCACATAATAAGAATACTACTATTAATTTCAAGAAAAGTTACATTGCTGAACATACTATTTTTCAAAGCACATCTAAATGCCTACTTATAGGTATGTGATTAATCAAATCTATGTAACATATTTTTACAACAGCGGAAGTCAAGCGATGCTGGGAGCATGCACGCTGGAGTTTCTATAAGGAT